CTTCCATGAGCACTGATGGTGAATCCAAGCAAAATGAAATCCCTGACAGCTTCAGCTCATTCTCCGTTTATCGTGATTTTGCTCATTGGTCCAGTTCTGAGGATTTTTGTTTTCTTTATGTTGAGATGCAATCCATACTGAAGTCTGTAGTCTTTGATCTTCATCAGTAAGTGCTTCAAGTCCCCTTCACTTTCAGCAAGCAAGGTTGTGTCATCTGCATATCACAGGTTGTTAATGAGTCTTCCTCCAATCCTGATACCTCATTTTTCATATAGTCCAGATTCTCAGATTATTTGCACAGTATTCAAATTGAATAAATATAGTGAAAGGATACAACCCTGACACAAACCTTTCCTAATTTTAAACCACACAGTATCCCCTTATTCTGTTTGAATGACTGCCTCTTGGTCCATGTACAGGTTGCCTATGAGCACAATTAAGTGTTTTGGAATTCCCTTTCTTTGCAATTTTATCCATAATTTATTATAATCCACACAGTTGAATGTCTTTGCATACTCAGTAAAACACCAGAAAACATCTTTCTGGTAGTCTCTGCTTTCAGCCAAGATCCATCTGACATCAGCAGTGATATCCCTTGTTCCATGTACTCTTCTGAATCCAGCTTGAACTTCTGGCAGTTCCCTGTCAATCTACTGCTGCAACCACTTTTGAATGATCTTCAGCATAATTTTACTTACATGTGATATTAATGGTATTGTTCAGTAATTTCTGCATTCTGTTAGGGCACCTTTCTTTGAAATGGGCTTAAATATGTATTTCTTCCAGTTGTTTGGCCAGGTAGCTGTCTTCTGAATTTCTTGGCATAGACAAGTGAGCACCTCCAGTGCTGTATCCATTTGTTGCAACATCTCAATTGACATTCCGTCAATTCCTGGAGCCTTGTTGTTCGCCAATACCTTCAGTGCAGCTTGGACTTCTTCCTTTAGTGCCATCAGTTCTTGATCATATGCTTCCTCCTGAAATGGCTGAACGTCGACCAATTCTTTTTGGTACGGTGACTCTGTATTCCTTCTATCTGTTTTTGATGCTTCCTGTGGTATTCAATATTTTCCGCATAGAATCCTTCACTATTGCAACTTGAGGCTTGAATTTTTTCTTCAGTTCTTTCAGCTTGAGAAATGCTGAGCGTGTTCTTCCCTTTTGGTTTTCTAACTCCAGGTCTTTGCACATTTCATTATAATACTTTGTCTTCTCGAGCTGCCCTTTGGAATCTTCTGTTCAGCTCTTTTACTTCATCATTTTTTCCTTTTGTTTTAGCTACTCTATGTTCAAAAGCAAGTTTCAGAGTCTCTTCTGACATCCATTTTGTCTTTTTCTTTTTCTTGTCTTTTTAATGACCTTTTGCTTAGAATGAACTTAGAATGAAATATATTTTTTTCTAATTTTCAGATTTTTAACACAAAACTATGTCTAAGAATGAACTTAAACATATAATTTTATCTTTAAAATATGAAAATTCAAAAAAAAAATAACCGAGTATTTTTGTACTTGGTGATACAAAGCAAGTTATTAAAATAGCACAAATTCTTAGGCAGGGCATTATCAATGAAGTGTTGTTCAGTTGCAAGATAGTTTCAGCCCATATGCAGACATCTACTTCATCAGAGCAGTAGAGATGGCTTGTATTTATATAGCAATGCATATGTCTTAAAGCTATAGGACAAACTATAAGACAATGATAGGCTAATACAGTTGTTGATAAAAAAAATCCATTATTGTACACTACGAGCTTGACTAAATAACCAACAGTAATGTAAGTGACAGTTATTGTAAATAACTGTAGGTTTATCCTTATTATTACCAATTTATTTGTCAATTTAAATCAAGAATTGACAACTAAGACCAAAAGGAAAAAGCACTGATAAGGTATCTTTAACACAAAATATCTGTCCTCCCACAAACGGTGGGTATTGCTATAATTGCTGTTTGCAGCATTCCATGGGAGCCAGATTTCTTAGACTGCTGGGGTCCTCAGTAAATGCTAGAAGTTCACTAATTTTATTTTATGAATACTATAGTCTTTTAAAATCACTTTATAGCTTACTTGTACCCTTGTGGGTAAGAAACAAAACAGTTGAATTTTTAGACCAGTGTAAGCCCATTGATGGCTTTCAGATCATACTTTGATAACACCATGGTTCTAAATTATCTTCCCTCTCAGCAATGTTTTAAATCCCTGAAAAATTGCTACTTAGAGTGAAGGATTACATTAGAATGATCTAAAGCAGGGGTAACAGATCTGCAAATGAGAGGGTATTTTACATTTGACATTTGGGGTTGTCTTTCCATTCCAGTTTTAAATTTAAGCTTTGACAATTAAACATCTTTCATTTAAGAGGAGAGAAATACCTGTTATAGGTGGCACCTGCTTATTATTGTCTCCCCACTGCATAAGAAGTGCTTTGGGGATGTGGTAGCTCTGCATCACAGCATCTGGGTGCAGGAAGTTGGGGTAACACTAGGCACCTGGCACATAGGAAAGGAGTGAACACTTATTAATTCTTTCCTCCCCTCACCCCAGACAGAATCAAGCAACCATTCTCAGTCTGGGCAAGGATCAGTCTGATTCTGCTGACTAAAGTCTATGTTACAGTGGGGCAGTGGGAATGCATTTTGGAAGGGATTGTGTGAAATAAATTTTCACTCAGTATATGTGGCACAGTAATAAGTTCAAACTTACCAATGATCATGAAGATGACACACGACTGGACAACTAATAGCAACGAAGTATGGCACAGGCTGCACTTGGTGTTGGATGGGAATCATTTATTCATTGGACTGGTGCCATTTGGAATGGTAGTTTAGTGTGAGTGGTGTCTAGGTGAGGCAGATATCCAAAGCTGACTGGTTCTTGGGGAGCATTGGTGGGCACGCTTCTTCCAGCTGGGGACCTGCCCCTGCAGTTGCCTTGGCATCGGCAGTGCCTCTCCTCTGGCTGGCCACTTGTATCCCACACCACAGTCCTGGTCTTCCCATTGTCCACCCCTCTGATGGAGTGCCTATGCCTTTTTAGCCATCTTCCTACTTGGAAACCCTGTAAGATACCCTGGGCCAGTTCTTTTTCCCAGGGTACACATCTGGTCTCTAGGAGCTGTGCACGTTTACCCGACTGGGGGTGGAAGTGCAGCTTTATGCTGGGGCGATTGAGAAATTTTTGAAAGATTCTAAGCAGGGAAGTAACATGATTCCATTCACTTTTAGAAAGAGCACTCTGGCAACAGGGTAGCTGACTGAGGGCTGGTGGGGCTGGAGGCAGGGAGACCATGGCAGAGTCCTGGCAGGACATAATGAGGGTCCATTGAGAATGGTGAGGAGGAGGTGGATTCAAAAGATATTAATGTTTTAGATATGAGACTAGATATGAGAAAACTTAGTGACTCAGGGGCTGAGGAAAAGTGAGTCACCTGTCAGGTCCCTTTTTATTTTATGGATGCATAATGAATTTAATCTCACAACAGCATGAAGATATAAGAACATAGACAGGAATGAAGTCATATTTGTCATCAAGATCATATGTAGACCCATTTCTGTTTTGATGTATACCAGCTTACCTTCTCTCTTTTGAATTTGTAAACAATTTACAAGAAATTGTATAGTGTAAAGAACATTTTTGGTTATTTATTCTACCCTTTCCTGTTTCAGGGATTCATCTTATATGTTTGCTTTTAAGTACTTATGGTATATAAAATATAAAGGAAGGCCATAGGTATCATTTAAATTCTGTAGGCTAATTTGAACTTTCCTTTGAAATAGCAGATTCTCTGCCAGAGCTCCCTCTTATTTGTGTTGAAGTTTCTCCCACACAATCCTCCCTGTTTCCTTTTCCAGACACACAGTTTGCTATTTATTTTAAGCAGCTGCTTATGAAAGGTGGAATTTAGCAATGATTAAAATGGCATAAGGTGGGTTTCTATTTGAGCCCGGGGTTGCTGGGTGGCTCTCTTTCGAGTACCCCTTTCTTTTATGCTTTTTCACCTATATTTTGGCTGTGAGAATAAATCCAGCAAAACTGCTGTTTGGCCTTTTAGCGCATTGCCAGCTTTGGTGATTGAAAACTAGCTGGTTTTGTACTAAACACCACTGAAATAAAATAAATGAGTCTGATTAAAGCTGGGAACCCCTAAGTACTACAAATGTAAAAACTGTCAACAGATGCCATTTGCTGAAACAGGCTTCACCAGCAGATGGGGGAAAGCTAAACATAAATTGCACTATTTCTTTTGGTTCGTTTGTTTTTAATGTTGTATAAAAAAATTCTGCAATAGCAGTTACAATAAACTTCTTGCAAATGTTTCATGGTTGTCTGTGGTATTCTAAGATCTTGGAAATTATAATCATGCTATGCTTCATTGTATGAATTCATTGAGCATGTAGAAGCAAATTCTTGTCAGAGTTTTAAAACTTGCTTTGATACTTGTATTTTCAATATTTAAAATAATAGTGAGAAATCATCACCCAATATTGACAAAGGAACATAATATCTTTTAAATCTTTAATGTTGGGCTACAGTAGGGTATTATGAAGCACATCTGTAATAGTTCTCATTCATTTAGTACTTGAATTTTCTTTACAATATTTGGTGTTTTTATTCCTCATTCAATTTAATGTCTCATGTAACATTTAAAGTAATCACTGTTGATACTAACTTTCAAGAACCATAATGGTATTATTAATCATTCTATAATATTTAGACATTATTTCTCAGCAGAGAATTAAGTGCTTGTTATATCATTTAAATTGTTAATGCTTGTATCTCTAAAGACTCCTGCAATTTACCTTTTTCACAATATTTCTTATTCCTAAATTTATTCATCAAATAATATTTATCAGAATGGATCACAAGAAATTTCAGCATAGTTAGAAGAATGGGGAAAATATTAGACAGAAATATCAAAATATTTAGAAAAATATCTAAGATATTTATCAGGAAGGCTAATGTCTGATTTCACTGTTTTTTAACTCTCAGTTTTATTGTTGTTGTTATTTACAGGTTCAGGTTCATGTCGCTTTAGTTATTCAGACCCCAGCATCATCGTGTCATATACAAAGAATAATACTGCGGACTGGATTCAGCTTGAGAAAATTAGGTTTGTTGTAATTTAAAGTATTTTCGTAAGTTATGACATAGATAGATTTCTACCTCCCTATTTGCCTTCATTCTACCACCAACTTTATTCTTTATGGTTTAAAAGTACTTCTGATTGTTAATTATGTTGAAATAGATGGGTGCCCATATTATCACCTACCCTATTTGAAGAGTAGTGTCATTGTCCATTCCAAACTTCCCACTGTCAGTAGTACCTACTATTTAACAAATTATTTATTTTTGGTAAAAGTTCATGTGGAATCATGACTTTTATAATGACATTTTCCATAATATAAAATGACCACCCATCTCTCTATGTGGCCTAGCTGTGGCCTGGCTTACAAGTCTGGGAATACATCAGATGACCCCTTAAATCCCTTCCAGTCTGTGATGATAATGAGTTAATAGCCGCTGAGCCTTTTGCATATAATCTCTAATTCTTTCATTTCCCTGTTAACTTCCCTGTGGCCACTTCTAAAATGCCATTATCATAATTTTGATAGAACTTTATTTTTTTTTTAAATCCTTTAACAAGAAAATGAGGTAGAATACTTGAGGAAGAAGAAACTCATTCATGTTAAAAAGGTTTGGTTACGTTAGCAAAACTCAAATTATGCTTGCTACTTCTGTATAGTTTATAATCATAAAATAAAATTCAGTATGGCCGCTTCTTTTCAGGTATAAGATAATTAAATGGAAAAGATACCTTGAACTTTTATAAAGTTGGTATTATGATTGGTTTAGTCTTCCAATTAA